AACGTGTCTTTACATGGGTGATGTGAAAGGACATAAGAAAAGTGACCAATTTTCTATTGACTAAGAAGTGCGGAAATGCCCTTTAAGAACAGACATTTTTTGACAAACAATTCCACTGTTATTTTTAAAGGCAAGTGCCACTGCAGGGCAGGGACAATGCTTGACTTTTTTAATTTTCTAAAAGCAAATAAATAAGAGAGTTTTAAATAAATATTAAAAACAAGAATGTCGGAAACACACATATACCCCCCCTTCTACCAACTCAAATAATTGGTAATTTTATTACAGAAAACTTTGCCAAAAAAGGTGGTACATGGAAGTGTTCAATTATGGAAAAATCAACGGAAAACCATTTTGACATTTTTAAGGCCCATTGACATTGACCTTTTGACCCCTAAATCAATAGAGGTCATCTACTACTTATGACCAAAACTAGGTGAAATAGAAGACGTTTGGAGAAACTTCAAGATAAACAGTCAAAAACCCGTTTTGACATTTTAAGGCCCCTGGACCTTGCCTTTGACCTAGTGACCCCAAAAACAATAGGGTCATCTACTAGTTATGGACCAATCACTATTGTGAAATAAAAAAGACTTTGTGATGAATACTTTTTTCAAGTAATTCGAGTGGAAAAACCATATTTGACATTTTTAAGGCCCCGGACCGACCCGCCCAGTGACCCCTCAAAATCAATAGGGGTCATCTACTAGTGATGACCAATCACTATGAAATGAAGACTTTGTGATTACATACTTTTCAAGATAATTCAGCGGAAACCATGTGGCCTACCGACGGACTGACCGGACAGACGACGGACCGACAACAGACCAACATTTAGCAAACATATACCCCCTCTTCTTCGAAGGGAGGCATAAAAATCATTAAAGGAAGGGAAAAAAAAAAAAATTTATTACAAATAAGTAGGTCAGGCACATTTAGTGTTTTTCCAAGTATATTATGTTCAAGATCAATTTTACATCTGGTTCAAATTTCATAGCTGTACAGATCATAGGACAAGAAAGAAGGTCACTTTCAATCAAATTATCTTAGGTCAGCTGATATCAAAAGCTTAAATTTACATTCTAAAACTGTGTTCATGGTTCCAAATTTCAAAGGACAAGAAAGTAGATCAATTCATCAAAGTCTGGATTACCTGATATCAAAGTCAATTTTACGCTTTTAGCTGTGCACTAGAAAAAAAAAAACAAGTTTAAGTGGAGATAATTTTGAAAATATTGCTTCCAGTTCCAGGAAATAAACCTTATCACATAAGATATGGTTAAAGCATGAAGAACATATATTTGAAGTTTGCAACTTGAATTACTTTAAGAAATAATGAAGTAATAGTGAAAAAGTATTTTTACTGCACAATAAACTTTAATCTGAATGCCAACACCAGGGTGAGTTAGGACAGCTCTCCATATAGTTAATATAGTCAAGCTAAAAATTAAAAGCTAATAAGATTAGAATAAACTGCCCTTATATTACAAATCAAGTTATTTGACACCAGAACAAACACAGTTGTGAAAGAATGATATAGTTTTTAACGTCAGATTTCTTCTTCTTGCAGTCTGTTCCAACTTTCTTGGGAAGCGGTTGATCCCCTTATTACAGTTATGATCATATCCAAATTTCTCCATTTCCAAACAAACCTATCAAAGGAGTTTTAGGGAAATATTTTTCTAAACAGTGCTGGACTCAATATTAGATTGTTCATATAAACCTTCCCCTCTACAACACCATTTCTTGAACATGAAGGCAAAACTGTTTCCTCCGGGCAGAATGTATTTGGTCTTTTAATACATTCTTCAGCTCACCAGGGAAGAGCAAAAACAACACTGATGCTACTTTGTACTCTTTCACCATGTATTTGAAATCACGTTGTTACAAAAATGCTTATTCACTTGAAAAAGGAATTAATTATGAATTTTTTAAACTCTGACATAAAAACTAGCCAAACCTATCAAACGAATGGCTATAGTTTTTTCATGGGAGCATTTTATTACAAAAACCTTAATAAACAAATCATACCAAAATTGTTCACAACACCTGCTTTTCCAAAAATGCACAAACACACCGATTTTGAGGTACAATGATTCCACCACAATTTTTTTCAATTTCTTTTTTTATAAAAGTGCTAAAGATAATTCCATTTTTTTAAAGAAATAATAAACCCACTAACAGTACAAAAAAGTTTAATTGTTCTATAAATACAAAAGGAAACATGACAAAGTGACATTTATAAGTGATTCCTCAAAAAGCAATTATTCCTTTGTTGTAAAAATTTCAATACAAGAGGGCCATGATGGCCCTAAAATCGCTCACCCGTTATAACGCCCCAGCCAAACAATTTTAAAAAGGGACTTTTATTTGAACAAAAACTTGGTAGACAACCAAGGAAGATTTCATGAAAAACAATCTCTAATTTTCTGCCCCCCCCCCCCGACGGGCCAATTTTGACCCCGGGCAATTTAAAACAAACAGGTAGACACAACTGAAATATTCATGCTTAGTATCTCTAAACTCTAACTCTAGATTTCTTAAGTTTTTACTTATATACAAATAATGAAAATCAATACGAACAGCCTTCCGGCGGCCGGGCCATTTTGACCCCAGGGCTTTTATTTGAACAAACTTGGTAGATATTCACTAGAAGATGTTTCATGCTTAATTTCTAAGCTCTAGCTATTATGGGGTTTTTTAAAAAATGATTTTTTTAAGTTTTTTTTACTAATACAAATAAGGAAAATCCATGACCCCCCGGGGCGGGGCCCCAACTTTGACCCCAGGGCTTTTATTTGAACAAAACTTGGTAGGGACACTGACTACTTGATGTTTCATGCCAAAAATATTTAAGCTCTAGCTCTTGCGGTTTTCAAAAGAAAATATTTTTAAGTTTTATTATATACAATAAGGAAAATCAAATGACCCCCTAGGGGCCGGGCCAATTTTAACCCCAGGGCATTTATTTGAACAAAACTTGGTAGACAACCCACTAGAAAGATGCTTCATGCTTAATATTTAAGCTCAGCTATTTTGGGGTTTTTAAAAACGAAGGATTTTTTTAGTTTTACTATATACAAATAAGGAAATCAATGACCCCTTGGTGGGGGCCAATTTTGACCCCAGGGCATTTATTTGAACAAACTTGGTAGACACCCACTAGAAGATGCTTCATGCTTAATATTTAAGCTTCTAGCTCATTTTAGGTTTTTTTTAAAAGAAGATTTTTTAAGTTTTTACTATATTGCAAATTAAGGAAAATCAAGGACTCCCGGGCGGGGGCCAATTTTTTTGACCCCAGGGCATTTATTTGAAACAAAACTTGCGTTGGACACCTACTAGAAGATGTTTTTTATGCTTAATATTTAGCTCTAGCTATTTGGGGTTTTTTTTAAAAGAAGATTTTTTTAAGTTTTTACTTTCATACAAATAAGGAAAATCAATGACCCCCCCCCCCCCCCCGGGGCGGGGCCAAATTTTGACCCCAGGGCATTTATTTGAACAAACTTTGGTAGACACTGACTAGGTGATGTTTCATGCCACATATTTTAGCTCTAAGCTCTTGCGGTTTTCTAAAAGAAGATATTTTAAAAGTTTTTTTCTTTCGGTTGCCATTGGGCAACCAGAGTTCTGCTTGGAATAAAAATTCTTTGAACAATTTTTTTAAAATTGGACTACCAATGGAACATTCCTGTGAAGTTTGGATGAAAATTGGCATAATTGGTTTATGAGGAGATGTCGTTTAAAGTAAAAGTTAAGGGACTGACGGACGAACGAAAAGCGATCACAAAAGCTCACCATGTCACTTTGTGACAGGTGAGCTAATAATTTAAGAAAGATATAGAAAATCTTGTAAAACTTACGGATCATGATTGAAAATTGCATCTACAAAAGCACCTGCTACCAGCGCATAAGATGCTGCATCCCTCAGCTGAAAACCATATTTTCTTGGCTTGTTCTGAAATTCGGTTTACCATTCATCAGTTATCAATTTACCACATATGAGACTGTTGCCCTTTATACCTGTTAACATACTCCTTATATCTGTTAAATAACCAGGTGTTTCAAAACAACGGTCATCTGTCATAACTGCAAACTTTCAATGTCCACATCATTCATTACTTTGGTAGACAAAGAAATGAAAACCCCCCTTTTATATCACCTTCATATATCTTTCAACTTCTATACTCTCTCTACAATCTGAGGTTGTCCTGAAATTATTGGAACAACTTGTTCATAAATTATATGAATTATTTAAAAACAACTTGTTTTCATATATGGAATTTATTGGAACAACATGTCATATATGAATTATTGGGAACAAACATGTCATATATGAATTATAGGAGCAAACTTGTCAATATGAATTTATAGGAGCAACTTACTCATAAATGAATAATTGAAAAAACTGTGTCACATATGAATTATCAGAGCAACTTGTCATATATGAATAATTGGAGCAACTTGTCATATCTGAATTATAGGAGCAACTTATCATATATGAACAATTGGAACAACATGTCATATATTAATAATTGGAACAACTTGTCATAAATTATATGAATTATTAAAACAACTTGTCACATATGAATTATCAGAGCAACTTGTCATATATGAATAATTTGGAACAACTTTCATTATATGAAAACAATTGGGAACAACTTGTCATATATTGAATAATTGGAACAACTTTTGTCATAAATTATATGAATTATTAAAAACTTATCACATATGAATTAATGAAACAACTTGTCATATATGAATTATTGGAACAACTTGTCACATATGAATTAATGAAACAACTTGTCACATATGAATTAATGAAACAACTTGTCATATTTGAATAATTGGAACAACTTGTCATATATGAATATTTAAGGATACTAACTACTCCACGATATTGACATAAGTCAAGTCAAATACGTGTATATTAATAATTAATGAAGGCCAATAACCCAAAGATGTCATACAGGGCTGTGTCGCAATACAGGGACTATAATGCTGCATAACTCCAATTAATTTGTGACAAATTACCAAAGTGTATAAATTCATGTGATACATCTATTATTTGAAAGTTTCATGGCTTTAGCAGGTACACCTCTGTAGTTTCACATGACAAAAGTCTAATTAAGTTATTTTTGCTTAATGAGGGGCTGATGTTCAATAAATTTGCATCAATCTACAAAGGGGCAAAAGTTCTAAATCTGACAACTATTTGTTGAAGTGCCATGGCTGGCTCTAGCAGTTTATATAATTGAACAGTTCCATGTGACACAATTCTAAAAATGCTCTTTTTCTTGCTTAATCAGGGGGCATAACGCTGCTGATCTCCAAAAATATTAAGGTGCATAAGTTCAAAAGCTGACAACTATTCTAAGATATTTATTGGCTCTAGCAAATGGACAAACAAGGGTAAATCTATATACTTCCCAGCCTTCCAAAAATAGGGATAAAAATTATTCTATTCAGTTAAAATATTTATAAACTTGTATTAAATCTCTTTAAGAATTTTTCATTTTACAAACTACCTTGAATTCATTTCAAAATCCTAAACATTTTAACTTGACTTCTAGGAGTGGCTTTACACCTACCTATAATACCATTTGATTCTATCCCACATAACTTGCAAGACTGTGGTAATAATGAGCACACAAACTCTTGGTAAGTCTGTGTTACACCACGAGTTAAACGACCACTTCTTGTCTGCCCTGCTAGTCCAGTTTTCATGTGAAGAAGGTCTGCTGTACTTATCACAAACACAACATCAGGCTCTGTGTATAGCCCCTGTTAAATCAATAAGTAAAAGAGTATGCAAGCATACAACAAGCAAATTCGTTGAATTTATATCCCCCGCCGAGTACTGGTTATTATTAACACAACAACTGAAGACATAAGGCTTTATTTATATATTAATCATGGCATAAACAGTAATATTCTTTGAACTTGATTAATATTCAGGGAAATAACAGAGCCATAACTTTGTGTTAAATAGTAAAATCTGGAAATGCCAATGAGATGTATGCATACTACATAACTAATCAAGGGCCATAAATCTGAGTTATAAGTATCTGACTGGAACAAGGCGACTATATGCACATCTCCTCTTAGTATCCCATATAGTTTCATTGAATTCCAGCCGGTGGTAGCAGAGAAGTAGCGAGGAAACAAATATTTTTCTATATGGATACTGCATAACTAATCAAGGCCATAAACTCTGAGTTAAAGTGTCTGACCAGAACAAGCCGATGATATGCGCATCTCCTCTTGGTATTTGATGATTCCCATAAAGTTTCGGTTGAATTCCAGCCAGTAGTTGCAGAGAAGCTAGCGCGGAAACGATTTTTACACTATATGCATACTACATAACTAATCAAGGGCAATAACTCTGAGTTAAAGTGTCTGACCGGAACAAGCCGACGATATGCGCATCTCCTCTTGATATTGATGATTCCCATAAAGTTTTGTTGAATTCCAGCCAGTAGTTGCAGAGAACTACTCCGGAAACGAAATTTGGATTGACGGACGGACGGACGGTCAGATGCGCATCTCCTCTTGATATTGATGATTCCCATAAAGTTTCGTTGAATTCCAGCCAGTAGTTGCAGAGAACTACTCCGGAAACGAAATTCGGACGGACGGACGGACAACGCCAAACTATATCCCCCTCCCGATTCCATCGGCGGGGGATAATAAATTGTAGTTAACAATTCTTCTATCTATATATATATATATTTTTAAAATTCGTGAAGCAAATTGTTAACTGAAAATTTTGCTATCAACATTGAAAGTTATACATTTGTATTACAAAGCTATTCTGAGTGTTGAATTTCAAATCAACATGGCTCCATATTTGTGACAAGCTATAACATCTTTTAGATTAAGAACCTTTATTTACCTGAATAAAATTTTGTGTCTGTACTACTGCATCACTTGTCGTATCATCCTCGTCACTGATATTGTGCAGACAAGTCCACGATCTTGTTTTCCTCTTTCTTTTTAACCTTTTAACAATCTTTGCCCAAAAGCTGCATACCCTATAAAACAGAACAATAATTCAACAGAATATAGTACATTGTATTTCCACTGATCATTTGTGTTAAACATAAAATTTCAACAACATAGATTGATTTTTTGCATGTTTATCAAAGCATACTTAACAGTATTAGTACTCCTCTCCTTGACTACACAGTTTATCTGCATAATGTGCATATATATATGACATATACGACTAGTTGTACTGGATCATCAAACAAATATTTTAACAGGGTTATTATTGGCGTATCATCATTTATGAATTCGAAAACCTATATAAATGCCGTTTTCCTGTATTTTCCGTTTATAGCTCTGGGGAATTCATCTAATGGAGTGTAATAACAAACTTTTTTTAATTAAAGTGAAATAAAACAGTTATTTCTTAGTAAGAAAATAAGTAAATATAATTGTTTGAATAATTCCTTACAAAAATAAAGTAAATACACAAGTTAACGCAGAAAATATTATGGATGATTCCCCTACAACTGTTTCAATTTTATTGATTTTCATTAATTAATAATTAGTAATTTTCAAACACATCAATTTTTTTTTCAACTTAAACGGTAAAATAATGATAGAACTAGAAATGTGTCCATAGGACACGGGTGCCCCCACCGCGACACTGTTCTGTCAATCTTTTTACTAAGTCAAGGGAAATAACTCTACAAATACTGGATAAATCCACAAGCCAAACCCCAGGTGCAAATCTAAAATATGCTGTGCAACCTGCCCATAAGGTTTATTGACTTAGTATGTCAAATCCTTTTTGAGGAACTTGCGACACAAGTTGGAAATTGCAAAAATTTTCTACGTGATGGGCAATAACTCTAAAAATACTAAATAAATCCAGACGAAAATGCCTGGTGCACAACTGCACATGCTGATCAATATTCCTGTAAAGTTACATGACTCTAGGTCAAATACTTTTTGAGTTATGTGCGACACATGTTGAAAATTGCCAAATTTTACTAAGTCAAGGGCAATAACTCTGAAAATACTAAAAATATCCAGATGAAAATACCCAGGTGCACAACTACACATGCTGATCAACATTCCTGTAAAGTATCATGACTCTAGGTCAAATACTTTTTGAGTTATGTGCGACACAAGTTAAAAATTGCCAAATTTTACTAAGTCAAGGGCAATAACTCTAAAAATACTAAAAATATGCACACGAAAATACCCAGGTGCACAACTACACATGCTGATCAACATTCCTGTAAAGTTTCATGACTCTAGGTCAAATACTTTTTGAGTTACATGCTACACAAGTTGAAAATTGCAAAATTTTACTAAGTCAAGGGCAATAACTCTGAAAATACTAAAAATATCCAGACGAAAATACCCAGGTGCACAACTACACATGCTGATCAACATTCCTGTAAAGTTTCATGACTCTAGGTCAAATACTTTTTGAGTTACGTGCGACACAAAAGAGAACGGATGGACGGAAGGACAGACGGACGGATAAGGGTAAATCTAAATGCCAGCCACTAAAGTGGGGGCACAAAAATGTTTACCCATTCACTCAATTATGGATAGAAACATTGCCAAAAAATTGTAAACACAAGTTATATCGCTTGACAGAGTCATGGCATTTTGTAATTTTGAAATATATAAGTTGCCAAGTCATTGCTATGACTTGTGAAGTGATAAATATTCAACTTTATCAAATATATATAAATGTAAGAAATCTATACTTGGCACCCTTGACCTTGACCCACTGACACCTATATAATATCATGCAAGTTACCTTCCTACCAAATATGAAATACACATGTCAATAAATAAAGGCTGTATGGGCAAAAATGTTAAAATCTATTTTGAGCATTGATGACCTTGATCAAACTGACCCCTAACTCCATCGAAAGGAAGAATACCATGCAAGTTATCTTCCAACCAATTATGAAATAAATCTATTAAAAAATAAAGGCTGTCTGGGCAAAAGTGTAAAAATCTATTTTTAGCACTTGTGACCTTGACCCAACTGACCCCTAACTCCATCCAAAGTAAGAATAACATGCAAGTTATCTTCCTACCAAATATGAAATATATCTGTCAATAACTGTATAGGCAAAAGTGTAAAAATCTATTTTTAGCACTAGTGACCTAGACACACTGATCCCTAACTCAATCAAAAGGAAGAATACCATGCATGTTATCTGCCTATCAAATATGACATACACCTGTCAATAAATAAAGCCTGTATGGGCAAAAGTGTAAACATTTATTTTTAGCACAAGTGACCTTGACCCACTGATCCCTACCCCAATCAAAAGGATGAATACCATGCAAGTTATCTTCCTACCAAATATGAAAAATATCTGTCAATAAATAAAGGCTGTATGAGCAAAAGTGTATAAATCTTTTTTTAGCACTGGTGACCTTGACCCAACTGACCACTAACTCCATCAAATTTTATGTTCCTATCAATTATAAATGACATCTGTCTATAGAATATGGTTAATACACCTGTAAAAATCTTTTTTTAACATTGGTGACCTTGACATTGGAGACATTGACCTTGACCCAAATGACCCCTTACTACACCCAAGGAAGGAGGACCTCCCTTGACATGTTTGTATTAAACATGAAAGACATCAAACAAAAAATAAAGGCTGTATGAGCAAAAATGTTTAAATTTATTTTCTAAACCAGTGACCTTGACCTTGACCGTAGAGACCACTTACTCCACAAAAAATTAGAGGACCATTAAAGGTATCCACCTACCAAATATGCAAGATATCATTAAATAAATTAAGCAATTAAGAGAAATTTACGATAAATCCAACTTGCTGAAATAGGTTAACCAGACAAGGCCTTATTTTCAAAGTGAACAAGAGCCATGTCAACATGGCCATCCCCCGCCAAATGTGTTTGCTCATTGGAAGAATGTATATGTAGTAGAGCAGAATAATTCCATTTTAAGAGGTCTTTTGGTAATGAAAACTGATGGCTATAGTGATTACAGATTTGAAACCTATGTGAATACTGATTGCTGAAAATAACAAAAAATAATGCAGGGTAGGTTATCATTCTTGTGTGCTGCATCCCTCCTCAGTAAAATCTATCCACCTATGAAGTTTCAAGTTGATACCTCAAATACTTTTTGAGAAAAAAATTGAATTGAAAAATTAAGTATGAAAAATAACAAAGGGCAATAACTCAAAAATTATAAAAGGTAGAGTTATCATTCTTGTGCACTGCACACCTCCTGAGTTAGATCTATGCACCTATGAAGTTTCATAATGATATCTCAAAGGCCTTTTGAGTTATGCTCTGGACAAAAATTAATTTTGAAAAATAAAAAAAGGGCAATAACTCAAAAATTATGCAGGGTAGAGTTATCATTCTTGTGCACTGCACTCTTCCTCAATGAGATTCATCCACCTATGAAGTTTCAAGTTGATACCTCAAATACTTTCTGAGATAAGCTCTGGACAAAATAGTATAAAAAAGAACAAAGGGCAATAACTCAAAAATTGTACAGGGAACAGTTATCATTCTTGTGCACAGCATTCCTCCTCAATAAAATCTATCCACCTATGACATTTCATGTTGACATCTCAAACACTTTTGAGTTATGCTCCACTCGGGTGAAAAATTAAGTATGAAAAAAAAACAAAGGGCAATAACTCAAAAATTATGAAAGGTAGAGTTATCATTCTTGTGCACTGCACACCTCCTGAGTGAGATCTATGCACCTATGAAGTTTCATTTTGATATCTCAAAGGCCTTTTGAGTTATGCTCTGGACAAAAATTAATTTTGAAAAATAACAAAGGGCAATAACTCAAAAATTATGCAGGGTAGAGTTATCATTCTTGTGCACTGCACTCTTCCTCAATGAGATCCATCCACCTATGAAGTTTCAAGTTGATACCTCAAATACTTTTTGAGATAAGCTCCGGACAAAATAGCATGAAAAAGAACAAAGGGCAATAACTCAAAAATTGGTTAGGGAAGCGTTATCATTCTTGCACACAACATTCCTCCTCAATAAGATCTATCCACCTATGACATTTCATGTTGATATCTCAAACACTTTTTTAGTTATGCTCCACTCAGGTGAAAAATTAAGTATGAAAAATAACAAAGGGCAATAACTCAAAAATTATGAAAGGTAGAGTTATCATTCTTGTGCACTGCACACCTCCTGAGTGAGATCTATGCACCTATGAAGTTTCATGTTGATATCTCAAAGGCCTTTTGAGTTATGCTCTGGACTAAAATCAATTTTGAAAAATAACAAAGGGCAATAACTCAAAAATTATGCAGGGTAGAGTTATCATTCTTGTGCACTGCACTCCTACTCAATGAGGTCTATCTACCTATGAAGTTTCAAGTTGATAACTCACATACTTTTAGAGATATGCTCCGGACAAAAATGTTGGACGGAAGGACGGAAAGTCGGACGGACGGTGACTATTTCTATATCCCCCGCCGCCTTTTTGGCGGGGGATAAAAAAGGGAAATAACTGGGAAATATGGATGACACAGTTATATAAACTTGGCAATATCATGAACTTTGTATTGATAAGTAAGTGTGGAAATTATGAAGCCATTAGTTTAGATAGAACTTAAGATATTTCCAACTTGCCGTTTTAGGTTAACCATTATTCATTTTCTAAGTGCTGAAAAGGGCAATAACTTGGTATACGGAAGCCATAGTTATGTAACTTGACCAGATCATGTACTTTGTATTGATTAGTAAGTGTGTAAACTAAGAAGCCATTGGTACAGGTAGAACTTAAGAAAAATCCAACTTGCCATTCTAGGTTAACCTCGTACGGACAGACGGACGAACAGACAGACGGACAGTTCAATTACTATATGCCAGGGGGCATAAAAAAGGTGCAGGATAAAAGAAAGAGTGCAAGATTAAAAACATACTGGGGTGGGGACTAGAAGGTGACTCTCGCCAACCTATCCTTGAAGGCATCTAGACTGGAACTGGATTTGACCTGATATGGAAGGCTATTCCAATACCTGAGAGTTCTAGGGGACAGGAAGTTCAGATTTCTAGTTGGGGTTAGATGGTTATGGTCAACATATACAAGTTTGTATTGGATTTTATAGAACACTACAAGAGAGGACTGAAGTCTGCGGCTTTCTAGGGAAGGCCACCCAAGTTCATTTAGCATTTGGGTTACACTACTGTCGAAGCTATAGTAATTACAAACATATCTAGCCGCAGCTCGTTGGACACTTTCAATCTTATGACTTAAATGTTTCTGCCAAGGGTGCCATATGGTGGAACAGTATTCTAATTGAGGTCGGACATAAGTAACATAGGCTGATGTTTTGAGTTGCCTGTTTTGGGTTTTGACGTTTCTCTGGATGAATCTTAGGGAATTTTTGGCCTTGGAGGTGATGTTATTAATATGCTGTGTCCAGTTAAGGTCTTTAGAGATAGTTACTCCAAGGTACTTTGCAGATTCTGCTGACTTGAGGGTTTTATTATGAAGAGTGTATGGAAAGATGGTGGGGTTCTTTTTACGGGTAATCCTCAGCACCTCACACTTGTCTGGGTTGAACTCCATAGCCCAGTCCCGTTCCCAAACTTCAAGTTTATGTAGATCGTCCTGTAGTCTGTCAGCGTCAGTCTGTCCTTTAATTGTCAAATAGACTATAGTGTCATCCGCAAATAACCTGGTTTTGCTTTTGACAGTTTCTGGCAAATCATTGATATATGCCAGGAATAGACAGTGTCCTAGGACTGAACCCTGAGGGACACCGTATAACACTGGCAGCTGGTCGGAGATTTGACCCTCCACCGCAACCCTTTGGCTATGGTGGCGAAGGAATGACCTGACCCTTTGTCCAAGGCCTTTGAAAAGTCCATCACATCTATTTTTTCTAGAATTACTTTTTCAATTATTCTAACACTGTGTCGACTCCCTGTGCTAGTTTTGTCTGTCACAAAATTTTTGGTATTGCATAGCGTCGAGTGACCCGTTTTTACGCTGCCCTATTTCGACGCCATTTATATTTTGCATCATAATTGATATAAGCGGCCGCTTACGTCATTACTGTATTACGCTATAGCAAAAGGGGAATCCTCTAGTTGGTTAGGTAACAATATGTAGTAAATAAGACACCCAAAGGTAAGATTTAGCATGTTATACCTTATTTAAGAGATTTTTGTATGATTTCACTAATGCAATTTTGACCCTCACTTTACTATGTCATGTTTTCCTTGAAAAAATCGGCTGGAAAATACCTCCCTGTCTGCTGACCTCATTTCCTTATTCTCAGGTCACGTGGCAGTAAAATTACCCAATAGTGTTGTTTTTGGCGCATTTTTTCACCCTAAAGCAACCTGTACGTGTTGTAGATTTTTTTTACGGTTATTAATTGATAAATGAATGTTAATTGAAAATTAATTGGATATGTTTATCTTATTTGGATGGAATGAATTGCCATATTTTCATTAGTTGCTCCACTAAATGTATTATTTTGTTTTTGCAGGTTCGACAAAGAAAGTAAAGGTGCTATTTTCCAACCTATATTTTTTCAGCAGAGGAGGTCAAACAGACTAGGGAAAACGTCCAAAACACTGTAAAAATACAACAATAGCATTTATCACATATAATTATACTTTATTTATGAAAGAAATAGAGAAAAGATAAACTAGTTTTCACTTGTTGATACTTTGCAAATCTATGCTCTTGATATTGGTGAACAACGTAAGTAAAAAAATTATGGTGTACAGTCTCCTATCGTGTGTAAATAAATTAGCCAATCAATAGCGTCGTTTTAGGGCACTCTCAATAAAAATGGCCGCTCATGGGTGAAGTGAAGGGGGCAGGGGACATATTCGAATGATGGCCCCGGTCAAATTTTTTAATAACTCAGACATGGTGTTTTGAAGGTACTGATAACTTCTGATATTTCTCTGTCATTGTAATTCTTTCTTGTTTGTGTGTAGGAAATGAGATATATTTTTGGGTTTTTACCCGAAACTAAGCATTTTGGTAGCTTTGTATGTATTTCTGACTCTCCGAATGGAGGTGAAAAAGTTAAAAATCAAGCTTTGATAGTTGGCGCAAAACAAGTAAGAAATTTCAAATAAATTTTGTGAAAAATCTAAACGTATGACAGACACTTTATTTGTCATTTCTGAAAATGCCATAGCTTGCACTGCGTGTTACTGATATTTTTAAAGGAATCGGGCGGATTCTGGAGTATGCTGACCCTTCATGAAGATTGCCTATATTGGTACATTTTAGGTGTGATTTTGGCTGGGTGGGGGTAAATATAAATTGCTGTCAGTCATTTTTTGAAGGAGCAATGCATGCAAACTATTATTTTCTTCAATGTATGTCATATATCATTGAATAATGCTGTGCAACTGGTTATCTGCCTGTGAAACAGATTTTGAAATATTTGGAATTGTGTTTCTGGTCACACTGAAATACAAAATTTTTCATTTTTAGGTCCCCTGCCCCCTGAAAGTAGGATTGTTTATGAAAAGGAATAGCTGGAAAACAGCTTAAATTTACCAATTTCATAAAGGTTAGATATTTTTTAAAAAGTTAAAACATTTTATACAATACAATCACATCGTTTTTATAGACGCATACAAAACAATCCTTAAGGGCGTCGAAACTGGTCACTCGAGGATGATTGTATTGTCGCGAAAATATGTTACAATTTTATTTTAAACATTTCTATTCAAATGTCAGCTCACCTCGCAGATCTGTTTAGTTCTCTCGCATTAAGATAAACTAAAATATTTTCTACAATGTCTGTTGTATTCGTGAGATGATGAGAGAACTCATGAAACAAAGGAAAATCGTTCTTGTCAACGTCTGACGCCATTTGCTTAGTTGACAGGCTGAACACTACTATGAAATTAATATGACGAACACTACTATATTTTTTCCACAACAATCCACTGACACTTGGCGTGTGGAGCTTAAAACGCATTTAAATTCCAAATAAAATGTATATTTGTCAATCCCAGTGCATGTACGTATCATATATCTATCAAAAACTTATATATGCCATTTTTGAAAAAAATCATATTTCAACGTCTATAATACCACGGATTTATATTATGTAATATAAATCAGTGATAATACATTATTTTATAGACGTTGATAAACGGCTTATATTAAAGTGTTCTGATATATATATGATATGTAAATGTACTGGGGAGATTGACAAACATACATTTTA